AGAATACATTTTACTTCTTCTACTAGTGGGAAATGGTAATCTGGATTTGCAATGGACATTTGAAACATAAGTTTACATTCTACACTAGAAAGGCTAGTTTGTGATGATGTTAGCTTGCACCAATATGAGATCATTCTTGTCTTGATGAAAATGCTGAGAGGATACCTCCCTAGTTCACCATATACCATGTAATCGGGTGTTGATTGTTTTAACTTGAGAATATATTTACAAAATATATAGGGATATTAGTGGCAGGCATTCAGCTTACTCCATGCACAGTGACTCTACTCGTCTTGTAAAATCAATTTAACATGGACTATATTAAAAAGAGAATGATAAAATAATTATTTAACAACAAATAAATAAACTATAAGTGATAATATCACACTAAAACTACCTGTCACATTATCATTTTTCAGAATGTACACCAAATCAAATTCTTCAACCTCACCTTCATCCAATCATTGACCACCAGAGGGAGCTGGTTCAACAGGACAACGCTCCACCGCACACAGCTCGTGCGAGATCTCCAGATTTCAACCCAATCGAACACCTCTGGGATGAGCTCGATCGACGTGTACGTCAACGTCTTAACACGCCGCAGACTGGCCAACGCGTTACAAACAGAATGGCGCAGAATTCCGCAGGACAGAATTCGTACACTTATCCATTCAGTGCCGAGGAGATGCAGAGCCGTGAATGCTGCCCGGGGTGGTCACACGAGATACTGAGTTCAGCGCCACCTTGTGGCCTTATGTGACATTACCATGAACAGTTTTCAATACCTTTGTACAACGACAACATGTAATATATATATACAATTTTACTGTTTTCGTTTGGCAACGTACGAAATGTAGAAAAATATCATCCTGCATGTTTTGTGAATAAAGTAAGAGAGACCTTTCTTGCAGAATCAGACAACAGCATCATGTACTCAAGACCATGAACTGAATATGTAAATTAAGGTACACCAAAATTGTGCCAAATATGTTACCTTGTGCATGGTCCTTTGTAAGGGGAGTGAGTCATGGATTATATTTAACAGTGAATGCTAAATCTATTTTCGTAACCAAGTTCGTTTAGTTTCTGTGGATCGATATCATAGACAAATGTCTCAAAATGCAAGAATCACAAAAAAGCATGTCCATGTCCAGTCGGTTTCCATTTTCCTCCATGGTGACGACGCTTTATCCCAACATTCCTCCTCGCAAAATAGGCCTTTCGCTTGGAAATTTCAAGAAAAAAGACACTTGGTACTTTTGTTTGATGAACTAGTCCACCCCCACGACCACACAATACCCAGTTTTGCACTTCATTGTCATGTAGATTAATGCGATGTCGACGAAACAATAAAGCGGAGGTCTCTCTACTATGACGTCACAGCTACAGCTGGGCCTTTAGCTGGGATTTCAATATGCTGACTGTGGGATCAGGGCAGTTTACTGATGCTTTTTATAAAAAAACAACAATGAAATCACATATGATTTTTTTGGTGTAAATATGTACTTTTTAAGACTCTTTAACATGTCTTTAAAAAGTATTATATTAATCAAATATTAGAATGCAGTGCTACCTCGTTGGTCCGGTTTACATATATACATGCGATAATTCGGTCCCGATTGGTGGGGTTTCACTGTATCAGACATACTCTTCTATAACAGCATGGGAATAACAAAACAGTCGTGACAAATACTGCAGCTGTATCACATTATTTGGGCCAGGTTGTCGATAGAGCAACGGTCAACTCCGTCAGCTCACACACTGCAACAACCCAAGTCATACACATTACACTTAACATGTATTTAGGCCATTCAAACTGCTCATTGGTTTGGCGCATTTCGTCTGTATTAATATCATCCTCATTCGGGAGGCAAAAGTCAGAAAAGAGAAATTAGTGAAATATTTGGTATTGTGTCCGCCGCTGTAGTCTGAAGTTTGGCGACAAGTTCATCTTTAAATAGTACATTTGAAATCAAGTTGTGTATCACTCAAATAGTCAAATCAAAAGCTGCTGATTTTATCTAATAATACGTTATTTGAGAACCTTATGGAGAGATGTGATTTATTACTCACCTGCTGAAGAAACCACTGTTTAATAACAATATGCTGGAATTGCACAGTGTTTCGCCAGTGTACATTGCAACAAATTTCACAAATTACGCCATAGTATATTGTGAGGTGTTTGTAAACTTCGTGGTGCTGAACCCCGTTCTACAAAGCGATTAAAGCGCAACGACAATTACTGTTTTTGTTAAAATATGGGAGTTACGATCACGTAAGTGCTACAAAAGCTTTATGGGACGGATCCCTGAATTCTAAAGGGAGGCCATTGTCTGGTGTTAAATTAGTATGTGTCAATTTTTAATGCGTTTGAAGTATTATTCTGTTGAACTCAATGTCTGTCTATTCACACACGGCAGTGAACTATTTTAATAAATGTTATAAACGGCAAGTAATGAATAAAATATTCCATATTTCTCACACAGCTGACATCTATACCAGGACGAAAGTAGGCGTACCCTGAAATCATGCAATGTGAGTATGGCTTTACGCCGCTTTTAGCAATATTCCAGCAATATCAACGCGGTGGACAACAGAAATGGGCTTCACATATTGTACCAATATCGGGAATCATACCCGGGTCTTCAGCGTAACGAGCGAACGCTTTAACCACTAGGCTACCCGACCGTCCCTGAAAGCATGCAAAAACACTGTACTGATTGTAGTAGTGTGGTAGTAGTGTGATTTTGTGCGTCCCGCGTTAGGTTTTATACCACGAGTAATGGATAAAAACACACATACCATGAGTGATACTGCTACAACAAATTTATCTTGCCGACTATGAAAAAAATAAAATAAATTGATTTTTCTATGTACAAAATAGCTGTTCGATTGAGCTAAGTTAATATCTGCTGTGGCACGTGACTTTCATTGACTCGTAGATCTATATTATGAATGCAAGAGAACAACCATCCTATAATTTGTGCCGAAACAAATTCTACTTGTAAAGGGCAGATAACTGTGGAAATTATATGAATGGACCTCTGTAAAGCAGTGATGACACCAGGTGTTCGCGAAAAGAGTAAGCCTCATCACGATTTTTATAAAAGTTTTATATGATTCATCTGCATGTATTGTCTGCCTATCTGTGTGCTATCAGCTTCTGATTTTACCAGACTGCACAGATTATATGACACTCTTTATTGCAGAATATAATACAGTTTTCGATCAATATCACGTTTGTCTTTCTAATCCAAACAGAACGTCGGTACTTTATTGCAGTGTATGGAACATCACTGGAGACATGCCTCATTACTTTTGGGAATAATAATGCAGAAATTCTTGATCTTTTGTGTGGTTATTTTGAAACACCTCATCGCAAATGTTCATCAAATTGGCAGTCCTATCACGAAATAAGTAAAGACCACAAAGGAATTAACCTCTACTTCATATATGTTGAAATCACATGCAACTATGGCGCTTCAACACTTTAGTATTTTCAAAGTGACATAATATAAACATCTGTGCTATGCTTGTGCTATGGACGTAGTCGTTTATTTAAGGATTGACTGTGTTTGTATTTCAGTTCATTGAAATATGAATCGAAAAACAGATGTGCAAATTGTATGAATCCGCGATATGAATCGAAAAACAGATGTGCAAATTGTATGAATCTGCTTAGTGGATTCTTACAAAAGTTTGCACATCGGTTTTTCGATTTATACCGCAATGAAACGAAACAAATACACAGTCAATGCTTATAATTAAATTCTACAACGAAAACAGGTTTTCATCTACAATAATTTAACCAAAAACAGTTGTATAGCAGACAAACATGACGAGACTGATAAACATTTAAGTGTAAGAATACATTCTGTGGTGTGACATGAATCAGGTGACTGTTTAATTTATGCACATAACTTGACTGGCCTACGAATTCAGTAGCCAATCAACGCAGAGTAAGATTAAAACAATGTTCACAAAACCTTTCAATGAAGGCAAGAGGCGAGAGGAACTGCAACATTCAGACTGTAACGAGCCGGAAACAAATGTGTCTGGGAGAAGGCGGCTGTTTCAAATGACATGGCCAGTTACAGCCAGTTTCAAACATAACTTCCCTGAGAACGGGAAGACACAGTTGGAAACATGCTAGTAGGAACTTAAACCCGAAGACATGAAAGTTGTGGAACCGATCGAAACGAGCGGGGAAAAACTGGCGAGCGAGCCTGCACGTTTGCTGTTTCTTTCCTTCTCGGCCTTCGGTTTCAAAGGGTTGTTTGGACAATGAATATGCATCAATTTCGCTAAACGATACACGTGAGCAGAAAGGGAATTCCCTCGACTGTAATTTCACCGTCATTTCATAGTAATAAAAGTAGTTCGCTTCGGTGGCTTAAGTTTTTACATTCATTGGGAAACGAATACAATAACACGTGACCAATTCAGCTAATCAGAATGTAGGAATTTCAATGAACACAACGAAAATTTAATTAACATAACTTGAAAAAACGGTCGGTGCGTGTGAATGAATTAATTTACTCAAATGGAATTATAATTACTTGTCGCATTCCCATTTTGTAGAAGCACATAGCTAAGAACTAGTTTTACTTTGAAGATAGAATGTGCAATTAATTGAACTGAAAATCCATTCAAGGGCGAGTTCACTTTTATCGCTTGAAAAGGATTTCTGTTTCACTTCAATGTGCATTAAAACGGCACTAAGCTACCTTGGTCTGTGATAACAAGTTCAGATATCAATATATGTATACATCTTTATAACAATATATTCGCTGTTCGGCGTTATTTATTATTTCACCAATTTGCACTTACAAACTATCTTGTTTTTATGTTTGAGGTCAACATTACATCTGACATATCAACCTAACCAATAGCTCAACCTAATTAGTGTGTCGACGTATTCGGATATTAGGACCTTTCTAATACAAGCATATTGATCAAACCGATAACTGGATGATATCATTATATGTATATATGCAGTGTGTTATTGCTTTTAACAAGATGCCAGTATAACTGCTGAAGTTGTTACATATATGATAACCTGCTGAAAACATTCACGAATGTCCATGGAGCAAAACACAACTGTCTACATAGATATTTCACAGACATAGGCCATTGGATGGATGTAACAGTCACCAGCGTGCCAGCTGTTGGGGAGGCTCAGGTCCCAGAAGGTGAGACATTTGTGGGTTGGATGATCTATGTTGGGTTCCCATGGGCTCCAGAATGTGGGCTCAGCAATTGAAGAGTTGTCTCCCCATCTCCAGGATGATCCCATTATATTCCCGCTCGTCCAAAACGGTCCTGTAATAGATCGGTTTAATAAACATTTACTAAATGTTAGTTATAGACAAAAGACTTGATCCAACAATTGCATAAGCTCGGCTGAAATAGTGCATTGTCAGGACTCTCGTACATAAATAAGAAATTATTATATTTTTTATTCTATCCACATATGCATTTATGGTGCTTTTAGGGCAGAATAGGCTAATCACAAATGGGCGACTTGTGAGGATTGGGTGGTTATTATGTGTGACTTGGTTGAGTATGCCTTATCGTACCTCAGGCTGACTAACATACCGACCGACTGATTCACTCTCTCACTCACTCGCTGACTCACTCACCATTGACTGAATGATTCACTGACTCATAAAACATCCTACACGTGACCTACCAATATCTGCCGCAATGTCGTACATGAATTGGTTCCGTTCAGCGCTGTTGATGATGACGAGGTAGCTCCCCACTGCTGAGCATGCTGTCTTGGCGTCAGGCCACACTTTAAGGTCGGTGTGCTTCTTGTAACACATGTTCAGTCTCCGGCTGTACAGATAGCCCGACTCGAGCGGACATAGAGCTGGAACACAAAACGAACAATGACAAGACTTGTGTAGAACACTAACGTGACGTGCATAAGACAAAGGTATAAAGCACAAACTGTATGTAACATATGAGATAGGTATAAACTATTAACATGACGTGACATACATGTAGGTATATGATTTTGACGTGACATGCCGTAAGACATAGTTGTAGAACATTAATGCGTTGTGGTATATGAGTGAGTGAGTCTGGTTGTACGCCGCTTTTAACAATATTCCAGCAATATCACGACGGGGGACACCAGAAATGGGCTTGACACATTGTACCCATATCGGGAATAGAACCCGGGTCTTCAGCGTGACGAGAGAACGTTTAAACTAGGCTACCCGACCGCCCTGTGGTATCTTAGAAAGGTGCAGACCACTGACGTATCGTTACATAAGAGATAGACATTGATCATTTATGAGACTTTGCATAAAATATAGGGGTAAGATACATATGTGACGGGACATACATTTTCATGATTGGTGTCGAACACTAGCGTGCGTGAAATACGAGATGAACGTGAGGTAGATATAAAATACAATGCAGAAAAAGAGCAGTTCACACATGGTAAAATTTACGGTTCAATGCATGTGTTTCTGGTTGACAGCTCGGCTTCTGATATGCCTCTGGAAAGACACGTTTTACTTCCACTATCAAAGGCGCGAAGCTATCCCATTCTATGATTTAGATTTATAAACCCTTTGGATTTATATATATAAACCATTTTGATTTATATATAAACTTATATATAGAAGTTTATTAGCAATGATTAGTTGTCAGGAATGTCGTAACATTTAATGTAGGCAGTGGTGAAGAAATTACTGTATTCAGATGCTTCGTGTGATGTGTAAACTTCCGGAATAACATGGATGGATGTCAACATGTGGAATATTCTGCGATGTTCTTGTGACACTAGACTGGTCTGGCACTGTGTGGAAAGTTCTGGAAGCTAGTTGGATTATATAAGTGGAGCGGGCGCGTGCCTGTTTCAGCTCTCACATTGCATGACATCAAGACCAGCTTTCGTGTGAAAATCCCTTATCACCTCGGATTCCCCAAAACATTCACTCTTGGAAGCTTGACCACTGCCACTGCTGGGCGAATATATTGTTATCACTGACTTTTGCTATCACCACTATTTTTTGGGTATTTGATACTGACCACGGTCATCTTATTGTGTACTGCCATTGTAATTGTCCTGCAGTAAGTACTGATTTTTTAAACTAGTGAATTTTGTAATACATTTGTTGATTGCATACTGTTTGTTGGTTACTTGTTGGTTTCACACTAAAACATGTAACGTACAGAGTAAACATATATTTTCAATTTGGTAATCGGCACTACACTATCGACCCTAGTAGGTTACAATCTTTCCTAATAGTGAGCTGAAGATTCAATGTTTCGTGTGAGGTTACAGATTTTGTTACCAATATAGGATGGGAGATGCGGGGTAGTATTTTCTCCTTTAACCTCTCAAGTTCGCTTCATGTCGATTGGCTGAATTAGAAATCCTGTAATTTCATTGGTTAAGAACCCATTTCCGGAACTATTTTTTCCCTTTCATCATGTTCAGTCAATTCTTTTAGCAAACAAATTTGCCATACGAGACATGTCCATTTCAACCATATTCATTATTGATCCAGATAAAATATCGTTCAAACATGTGATAAACAAAACATAAAAACTAATTAAGATTTGTAAGTACATTCAATTTGATGGAATAAATAGTTTGCTATCCTTGCATGTAAACAACAATGTTTACATTCGTATCCGGATACAAGTGAAAGATCCTGTGAACTTTAAGGGAAATTTGGTAGTAAGAATAGTGAACATAATATAGTCATTAAACCGTTTTAACGTCTTTGTGATCAAAACTGACAATTGTGAGCGACAAGCCCTTCGATTGAAACTAAATGGAAGAAATACCAGAAATAATACAAAGAACATCATGATACCTTTTAGCATAATTACGGTAGAAAACGAATTCGATGACAGCAGGGGAGAGAATAACCACAGAAAAAGTAAGACATATGCTCACTTGAAAAACTCTGTCAAAACAATCCTTACTCGTTGCAGAATCAATTTACAGTTTGTTGAGAATATGCAGACCGACAAGAGTTTGTTTTCTTTGGGTAGTTATGAGAGCAAGTGACTTTGACCAGGACTGACGTTGATGCACACGACGTTGAGGCGAGTGGCGGAACAACTTCGACCGAAAGCAATTAGCATACAGTTTGAACAACACGTGTTTAAATTTTTCATTAAGAATAATGCCAAGTCATATCAAATTCATTCTTGTTATATTATACACGAATCAAAATCTATATTTATCGCCAAAATACATTATACTGCTTATATTGTCGAAGAATTAACACCGTTCAAAAGAACTATTTCGCATTCGCTGAATCTTAGTGTTGATTCACACACGTATTAATATTTTTAAATGCGACATTGCCTCTGTTATAAAAATAAACTATGTCTTTCCTTTTAGCTTGATATTTTAAATCTTGTATAATAATAAACAATGTACTGCAAGTTTCGGGACGTAAAACATTAATTTCAATTGGGACAGTTAATCATCATTCCTCGTCACTCGTAAATTATTGTCTATATATCCGTTGTTAAATGTTATATATTCAATCCTTCTAAAGCGGAGGTTATCAACTGAATCTTCAGCAGGGTGTTATAGGTGTTACCATCAATGGAAGGTTACATGTTCTATGCTGATTAGAAAAAAATGCTGAAAATGCCTAGAAGGATTCTTTTAAGTTTAGCGAAATTATACATGTTCTATCCATTATTGATGGCACTAATCATTAACAGAGCTATTATGCTGAACTGTGGTTGTTTATAGAAAGGTTAAGATTACTGCTTGGCTGTTACTACCAATATGTCCAATCATGTTCGAAGAAATAGGTAAGCAAACAAACTTATACGCATATTTAAGTGGATAATGAGTGGAATAGTTTTTACATGCCAAACAATTACATTGCAAAGAAATTAATACCATATATTTGAAAACAGTCAGGCAGGAATCGGCCTTGTACTAACATGGAGACTTTAAAATAGTTACAAAGAAATAACACAGAGACAGCCTTAAGGTACAGATTAGTTCATGTATTTTATCTATTTTTTTGTACATGCCATATCCTCGATGTTCCTTCTATTTCATACCTGAATTGTAGGTCCTTATGAACACACGTAACGATGAAAGATCACAAATCTTACCTTTACCCAACACCAGGTGTTCAATTGGCTCGGAGGTGGCAACCAGCTGTGTCTGATTGAAGCCTTCCATCAGATGACAAGACTTGGTTTCCTCGTTGTAGAACATTGTGGTACAGTATGCACTGAAGAAGCACATAGCGACACAGTCTGCCCTGGACAAGGCAGGGGACCCTGGGGATAGGGACGGGGGCATCTGACCAGTAGATAACGAGGACACGGTCGTTTCAGAACATTCCATGTTGTTTACTGATATGTCCACCTGGGGTTAATAACAGGGCTGACACAAGGGCAGACTTTACATCAGTAACACCATCGACAGTGATGAAAAAGTACAAAACGTCAAGTGTGCCTGGATGTGATTCTGCAAAATTAATCAATTGATCAATTCTATTGAGCTACATTTCCTTTCTGTTGAAGTTATTTATGTACCATGACTATACAAACATCGTCCAGTAAACAAAGACCTCGGAAATGTATGGATTAATCTTTCACGGGACTACAATACACTTGACTCCGAATCATACTTTTAGGCTGGAAAGCCTGGAGTAGCATGATGCTTAGGTACTTCACTGTGGAATTCCCTTTTCGTTCTCACCATCAATACGGCATCTTATCTCGCAAAGCAAACACAGACATGGGTAGCCATTGTACTGTAGTGTGCTGTCCACAGCCAACACAAATGTCGTAAAGTTGAACTTTTAAATCATAGTTGCATACTATTTCTATGACAAATCCGGGAAATCTTGGCTTTAAAATAATTTTAAGATGCAGATTTACGAATCATGAATAGTAAATCGCAAAGTAATATGGTTTAATGAGAAATTATACCAGGTTTCCTTCAGAATTTACTGTGTTTGTTTTTGCAAAGGAGGCTTGTCATCACCACACAGTTGTGGTGGCCATCAAGTTTAAAACATCCGATGACGGAAGTATCAATGGATTAATGCTTGATGCAGTACAATATCCAGAAGTGTCATTTGTTATTTTATTACACATTTACCAGGTGCAGACCCATCGGGTCAATCATATTTTGTAAATGGTTGGAGTGTTTTTGAGTTGACCATGTCCCATTATCTTATCACTTGGGAACGCGATCTGTCATAATATTATTAAAATCCAATCCAATTTCAGATCAAAACAAACTTCTATTTGATCTGATGTTGTTATTCCTTTGAAGACTACTGTTAGATGTGATGGCTCACTAAACAATTGACATATTTCTTGTCAAACTGCGTCACCTTAGCTGACCACCATCTTAAGATGCTACCTAATCAATTTGTTTTTAACGTTGAGAAAAGATGTGTAAAGACAACAAACACCAATCCTTCATGTGTGTGTGACAATAGAGACTTTTATCATAACCACGAGAAACAAGTTTCCATGTTACCCACCCAACACAATTCATGTCCCTTAATGACTACGTGAGAATAGATACTGCTTCATGGCACTGCTTGACAACACAGGATACTACAAGATATTTTCGTGCTCTACATCACTCTATATGCCACTACATGCGTCAACATGACTCTACATGAAACTAAATGAATCTGCATGAAACTTAATCTCATTACACTTTCGGAGCTGTCGGGAAGCCTAGTGGTTAAAGTGAGTGAGTGAGTGAGTTATAATTTTACATCGCATCGGCAATATTGCAGCCATATCGCGATTAGTGGTTAAAGCGTTCGCTCGTCACGCCATAACGTATCTCTGTTCTGACACTTTGTATTGATTTAGTCCTAGTGCACGTAACACACGCACGCACACGCGCAGACACAAACGTGCCTGCAGGTCGCTATATGCATGCAATAATGTTGAACTCGACGTTGATCCCATTTCACCTCACCTCACCTCACCTCACCTCACCTTTGTTTCCGTTCCATTCATACATCGTTTGTGAAGTTTATCATTGTTAACTTATTTATGTATAACAATTGACATCATAAGAGCATGCATGTATCGAACCACATGCTTAAAGAAGATTTTTTATTAATTTTGGAATAAAACATGTATAAAGCATGTTGAAACAAGTATCTTGAAGGAGAAAATTCGAAAGCAATATATTTGTGAAAAAACCCGTTAAAATAACTCATATTCCGGAAACTACTGAGCGTTAATTAGCAAAGTTGTCATCACATAACAGAGTGGAGAGTTGACCTACAGAAGATCACTGTTTCTGTATTGTGTTTGGTAGATTATGAGTGTTCGCCATGGCATCAACTGACAATGCCATCGATGAAAACGCTGAATTTTCGCTCAATGAACCCTACACATATTCGTCTATATCGATATGAGCCAGTGGTTAGTCATCTACCCGAGGCAAGTGAGTTAACTGACTATAAAAGTCCAGTTTCCACCCTTGCCGAACTAGGCTGGTATTATGGATTTACATTTTGGCTGGACTTACGAGTCTATGCATAGTCCAATCAAAATCGTGCACCGAAATCGAAATCCGGTTAGTAAAATGTCGTTCAGATTTCGGTCGATTGCAGGATTTGCAAAGCATGTGAACACCCAACTCGTTGACAACAGATATTTTCCAAATCTTTTCATGTTTTTAATCAAGCTGCTCAAGGTGATTTGATGCACTTCGCAATGTAAGAAACGTTTTATCACAATATAGGTCTTGATTATCGATCAGATCGTCTTGACTGGGCGCCGCCATTTTGTTTGAAACAAATGCACGTGATACGAGAGGTGAAATCTGATTAGTCATAGGAGAGGCTTAGAAAGGACATAACTCGAAATTACCACTGGTGGCGCTACAGTCGAGCTCAGGAATTCCAGCCTAGTTCAGCAAGGGTGGAAACACGACTTTTAAAGTCAGTTAACTCCCTTGCCGGGGGAAGATGGTGGTTAGTCAGTCATAATAGTCTTGCCAGTAGCAAGGAAAGCGAGGAAGATCTACCAAGTGAAGACGATCAAACTGATGTCAACAGGAAACACTGGGGAACACAATCTGGTGTTAAACGTTATCCTGACATTTGTAAATTAAATGGATGGTTATCACTAAAAAATAATTCGTAAATACAGTTATTCTTGTGAAAAATGTTCCAGGTGTAGATACATTCTTATCATTATCTAAAAGTTGTTAATTGAGTTGTCTTGATGCCTAACCAATTAGCATAGCGCTAAAGCTAAATTTGGTTTCCATACAAATGAATGTTTTATTAAAAATGTACTGTCTAGTGATTGATGGTTCAGTTAATACTGCCGTGTAAACAGTTATAGTAATATGTCCTTTATTGATCAATAGAGGGATATTAGTGGCAGGCATTCAGCTTACTCCATGCACAGTGACTCTACTCGACTTGTAAAAACACATCCTTAATCTAAACATGGATTTTATTAAAGAGAGAATAATAAAATAATTATTTAACAACAAATAAATAAACAATAAGTGACAATATCACACTAAAACTACCTGTCACATAATAATTTCTTTCAGAATGTACACCAAATTCGCACTTATCTAACCTAAAACAATTTTGTGTCAAACACTTGTTAACTTGTTAATCCCAAATCTAGACAGAAAATGACAGATCCATCGACAGCGACGCTTGCCATACCTTACAGATTTGGAATTTGAGAAACAGGAGACGAGTGTGGTTTAGCGATGAATCACTATTTTTTCTTCACCGGCGAGATGGAAGACAACATGTTTATCGTCGTCGAAATTATCGTTTTGCCTCACATTGTGAACATGAATTCGACATTTTCGGTGGCGGAAGTGTCAAGGTGTGGGGGGTCATATCCTACACTATGGGAATCTGACTTGGTTTTGGTAAGGGAGGTTTGACATCAAATCGCTACATGAATCAAATTCTTCAACCTCACCTTCTTCCAATCATTGACCACCAGAGGGAGCTGGTTCAACAGGACAACACAGTTCGTGCGAGATCTCCAGATTTCAACCCAATCGAACACCTCTGGGATGAACTCGTTCGACGTGTACGTCAACGTCTTAACACGCCGCAGACACTCCCACAACTGACGAACGCGTTACAAGCGGAAAGGCGTAGAATACCGCAGGACAGGATTCGTACACTTATCCAGTCAGTGCTGAGGAGATGCAGAGCCGTGATTGCCGCCCGTGGCGATAACACGAGATAATGAGTTCAGCGCCACCTTGTGGCCTTATGTGACATGACAATGAACAGTTTTCAGTACCTTTGTACAACGACAACATGTGACTATCAAGCTTATGATATTAAATTACATATATCGACTTTATCAGGCACAATCAATTACCAAAAATCTACCTGTGCGTTTCTTTTTTTGAAGCGTGTACTTTGGACACAAAAGATTCTCAACTTCAAGTAGAGTTTATTATAGACGTCCAAATAAATTAGGCTTCCAGTCCCAACATAAAAGGGGCGTTATTTAGAGGGTATTCAATACTCAACGATGTGGTACACAGATTCAACAAATTAAAAATGTTTAATGGTGTATGCAAAAGTTTCCATAATATATTTACCTTTTTCGATATTTTTTCCGTAATTTTACGCTTTTCGTTTGGCAACGTAAGAAATGTAGAAAAAATCATCCTGCATGTTTTGTGAATAAAGTAAGAGAGACCTTTCTTGCAGAATCAGACAACAGCATCATGTACTCAAGACCATGAACTGAATATGAAAATTTAGGCACACCAAAATTGTGCCAAATATGTAACCTTAGCATGTAATCTGATCAATGTGCATGGTCCTTTGTAATTTTTGTACGAGGGGAGTCACCAAGTTCGTTTAGTTTGTGTTGATCTCTATCATAGACAAATGTCTCAAAATGCAAGAATCACAAAATGGCATTTCAAGTCGGTTTCCATTTTCCTCCTCGCTGACGACGCCGGTACTTTATTGCAGTGTGTGGAGCATCACCGGAGACATGCCTCATTACTTTTGGGAATAATAATGCAGAAAATATTTATCTTCTGTGTGGTTATTTTGAAACACCTCATCGCAAATGTTAATCAAATTGACAGTCCTATCACGAAATAAGTAAATACCACAAAGGAATTAACCTCTACTTCACATGTGTTGAAATAACATGCAACTATGGCGCTTCAACACTTTACTATTTTCAAAGTGATGTAATATAAACATATGTGCTATGCTTGTGCTATGGACGTAGTCGTTTATTTAAGGATTGACTGTGTATTTATTTCAGTTCATTGAGATATGAATCGAAAAACCGATGTGCAAATTGTATGAATCTGCTTAGCGGATTCTTACAAAAGTTTGCACA